AACATAATGCATTATGATGTTACAAAATAGTTTTGCTATAAAGAAAATCATGACAAGGTTTGGAATGCAAGTTTATATTAAGATAATCACAACTGCTCTAAGGCGTTGATTACAAATTTTTATTGTATTCAGTTTTCAATAGATGCTTTAGAATTAGAAGTACAGTTAAACCTATAGGTTGTTTTGTAAGACAGAATAGATATCATATTAGATACCATGTAAATGTAAATGTTTTGCTGATCTCTGCTGTTCTACATAAATAAACCATAATTCACTTACTCTGACCATAAAGCTGTGTTAATTTGAGTATCTGATGTGTTTGGCTTTTTGCAGCTTCTTCACGTCCAGCAACCAGCGACAGAAACATCTCCTATTTTGGCCGAGCTTAATAATTAATTGAAGTTTTATTGATCTCAGCAGTGGCTGCCATCGTTGGGCACCAGAGAGCAATCAGGGTTAAGGGTCTTGCTCAGAGACCCAGAGTGGCAGTCCGTAGAAGAGGGTTTCAAACTCGCAACCTCAGGATTCCAAGCTCTATGCCCTAACCACAAGGCCAGCACTTCCCTCCAAGCTTTTCATGTTAGCTGCAGCACTTTCTAGTTCTGCCAGTGTTCTTTGCTCGAGCCGCTTCGGCTAGATGACCGTGATTCCTCCAGTCTCCGCCTCATTCGGTCTCAGCTGCACGGCTTCAGTTCAACAGGCTCACCTTGGCATTTAGTAATCAGCTGGTCACAAGTCTGGACGACTCTCGTGCCTCTCCGAGCCCCCCTGGGCTCAGGGCACCGTATCCTAACCTTTCAGCCAAACTCATCCAACTCCTGTGTCTACATACCATTTTTCATTACTCTGTAAATAATAATGCACGTCTTCCACAACACCCATTATTTAAGACAACCATAATACTGTTTTAAGTTTAATTAAATTCATGGAAAATAATTTGCCTTCTTAATTGTTTTATGAAAAAACTTTTTATAAATCATAATTTTCCCATAGCAAAACCACTTTCCAGCTTTTGCTTCAAGGTGTTAAATGGACTTCATTTTATTTATCTCTTACCCCTAATAATTGTCTAGTTGTATTTGTTCTATCAAGTTTCATCAAAAGTTAATTACATTAAGAAATCCTTAGCATAAATGTAACTTGCTCTGTTTGAAAATTCACCTTTAAGTATTCTTAATAATTAGTGTTTCACTTATTCACTTTGCTACAGTAAGACCAACTTAACTCAGGAGTAATCTAATTCTGTCATCTATGTGCAAAGAAAGGATTCGTCTAATCATGTGGGGTTTATCATAATCAAATATAAGCTGCAGAATCAGTCCCTTTACATGCCGTACACAATATCATTCTAGTATAACGATCTGTACATTGTTTTCAGTTAAAAATGCTTCTAAATACCTGGGCCCCATTTTTATGATGATCGCCCCTGTGTGCACTCTGGAAACTGTGCTTCTCCTTCTGCCTCTCAGTGAAAACAAGCAGCTGTGTGTGTGTAGAAAATGTGTGTGTGTTGAGTTTCCGTTTGCCTCGGGACAGAACCCAGAACCATTTTGGACCTTACTGGGTGGGTGGAAGGAGGGAGGGGGGAGTTTACAGCACTTTTAGTACAAATTGATTTTTTAACCTTTAACATGTTAATTTCAAGACATAGTAAGATGTAAATGTATTAATCAATATATTTCTTATAAAATCGACCATAGTTTTTCACTTTTATAAACATTTGAAAAAGAGGATCAACACTCTGCATAAATTTCAGCTCCTCTAAAGGTTCAACTCCAAAAATCACAGCAACATTGATAGCATTTGCAAACCAACATAAACAAAATATAACTAAAACCAAACACTTTATAATAGAAGTTGTCTAGACCAGATCGTATTTTCTTGTGCACATTATTTGTATTTTCTTTTTAGAAAGTTTTGTCATTGTTTGTATTGTAGTATTTTCTGATGACTTTGGTCCCACTCATTACTGAATTACTCAAAATGCATCCAAATAGATTGTGCAGAAATTCGACTTTTTTAGCAACAGGTTTCCTGCATACCTTTCTCATCATATGTCCGGACGTGGATGCATAGAGAGAATCCAGTTCTTCATGGGATTTTATGTTTATTGTCATATTAATCTATGTTTTAACATAACTGTAATCTAATTATCTGCTGTTTAATTCTCCTTTTGATCTGTTTACACTGAAACATAATAGAACAAATATTTTATACCCCAGACGGACATGTTGACATTGAACAAACAACATAGAACAGACAGACAGACAAAGAACATAAAGACAGACAGACAGACAGACACATGCCGGCTTCTAACATAGTTTCGTTTATAGTAATATATAGTCCTATTTAACAGATACAGAACGTCGTGGCGTTTTTAAGCTTCCAGCTTGGTGTGTGTGTCAGCGCACACACAGACAGGCTCATAGGAGGAGAGAGGAAAAGGGAGGGGGCTTGGAATGCAGGGGGGACTTTTGCTAAGAAAAACTTGTTTTGAAACTTTTAGATGTTGTCTTACAAATTTTTAAACTTTTCTTATATCCACTGTTTACGTAACATATTGTTCTGTAATAATTAACAACTTTTCGACCAAGTATGTTTAAACATTGGGCACAGTTAAGCCTTTTCTGTTAGAACAAACAACTGGACACCTATTTTTCATGCAGCTCAGTTATTAGAAAATGTGACGCAGTTACAATTAAAGTGAAAGCAGACGTCTTTTGCAGATATAAAGTGATCACTTTCTTTCTTTTGTTTAGTCTTTTATGTTTTTAGACTTATTTATGCAATTATTTTCACTTTTTATGTTTTGTTTCCCTTATTTAATGACTTTTATTTCCTCCTTTTGTTTTGACCTCTTATGTCCTCTGGGACACTTAGGAGAGGTTATTAAACATCTCTACATTTTGTAGGGACTAGATCTTACTTTACACTGTTTTCAGTCTGATTAAATTACAGTGATTAAGCAGATCTGATTACAGATTCTGGAAGGAGGTTTGAATTTAAACAGATGTTTTTAGTGTACACTTAGATTTCAAACACACACATTTCAAACGGCACCGGTCAGACAGAATCACACAGAGTCACACGTTAATACAGAATCACACGGAGCTCCTTAGACATTCATACCATTAAATGCCATGGCAATAAATTATTTGTGCACATAATTCTTTAACTTCATAGACCCAAGCAGCCAATATCAACTAATTTGCATGCACTTTTAACTCTTTTTAACAACTTTTGGTCTAACATCATCAACACAGAGCTAAACTGCTCTCTGTTGCTTCTTTCTCCGGAGATAAACAACAGCAACATACGAGATCTCAATACAGTCCCACTGGACTCAGGCCTATTTTTCAACAACAACAACAGCCCTTCAGGCTCGGTCGAACTGCAACTCGGCGACATGTTCTAGGAAATAGAATTCCTCACTAGAATGAGATATACATATTAGTTGCATCATTCATAATGATACATCACTTATAATCCGTGACCGCCAGTTTCCACCAATTTCTATAAAGTTATGGTGCAATCTCGCTTCAGCAGATTACTATTAATCATCCAAAAACAAAAATCCGAGCCAGTTCTCGACAGCTACTATTTATCTCAAGATGCCAATTTATGCTGCAGCAAACATCCAGTGGCAAACAGATAATCGTCTGATACAGTTTAAATGTGTGTCCAGCTTCCAAACAGCTTATGTGATCAGCTCACCTTAACCCGGTTCTTTTCTCAGCTCGGCCAATGCATCAAATGTGGTGGTTTTCAATGGTCAGAAAATCAGGACACCTTCAGTCGATCATCTGATTGCCCCAGGACGGGAGAAGAAGCGTTTATTTCAAAGATCAAATTCACATGCTGTCCTCAGTACACGTAACACAGCGCTGAACACTTCAACAGAACACATCTGGCTTTTCTCAACTCCCATTTCAAATCTGGGCGTTTATATAGTTTCAACATTGCACTGTGTGGACGTGTGTGCACGACTGGACGCTCTGATAACATTTCCTGGAAGTACTTGGCTTGTGACCGGATTGCGTGCGAGTGGGCCTTTGAGTGGGCCTAATGATTTTGTTTTTCAAGACTCGGCTTATAGCCTGTGAACACATTGTTACTGCCAAAACAATGTTACTGCCAAAATGTGTACGTGGCTCCCAGACTGCTTGCTCTGTGTTCTCAATTATTGTGAGCTTAAGGTCACTATGACCTGAGGCAACACAATTCGCTTCTACAATACTAATTAGATTTTAGATATTCTTAGTGTCACATAATAAAACTAATTGTTGTGTTGTAGGACAAACTTTATTCCCTGGACCCTATCCAGAAGGACAGAATTCTGGATAGAATGGTGCAACGGTCACCAGGAATGATGATTGACGTCATGCATTTCCTGGACGTTCCAGAGAGCCCTGTCTTTGTCCCTGACCCAGCTGGTCTACACTGGTGCATCTGTGGCAACTGCAGAGAAATGGACACATATCTGGAGAGAAAGTGCTGTCGGCAGTCACCACAGGACTGTGTCAGTAAAATGGGCCATATGGACTATTATATTTTGGATGAGGGTGTGTTGGGGCTGGCTCGTGCTGCATGGAATGACATCTTTGCCCTGGAGGATAACCCTGAACCTGGGGTAGACCAGCGGCAGTTCAGGCATACAGCTTACCGTCAGTTTGTCCTGTGGCAGCACGGACGCCTGGGTGTGGGCAACAGGGTTGTGATACCCAGCTGTTGTGTGTGTCGCATCAGGGATAAATTCCCTGACCCAAGGGGCCAGTACACTGGTTTTAGGGTGCAGCGCTTGTTGTAAAGTTTTCAACTAATTGTACATAGTTCTATTCTATTTTTTACATTTTTGCTTTATTGACATACCAGCACAACAAAGTTGCTTTCAAAGTTTATTTACAAATAAAGATCTGTACATGTTTCACCACAAGAGAAAAGTGCCTCATAACTTCCTATTTACAGAATTCAAATGCTTTGCATCGTAAACATCCATCTGCTCAGTCCTCCAGGTCCTCTGTGTCTCTGTGGCCCAAGTCCCCACGGGACACATGTATGCTTACAAGTTTAGCTGTAGGTGGTGGCTGTTCCGGTGCCAGCAAACCAAGGCTCCTTGGGTCAGCAGACCTCAAAGTCTGCTTGCGGGGAAGGCCTTTGCAACTTCCCAGCCTCCTTGCCAGAATTGCCCTCTGAAGGTCAGGAATGTAGCTGTACTGCTTCTTTTCCTTCATGGTGTGGACACTCCAGCTCTTTGACTTCTTGTTGTATGAGCGTCTGTAGCTAGAAAGTAATAAACAGAGCCATGTGTTGAAATCAATATAGCCAAATTTGTTTACAATGTAAGACATTCACAACAGAAACATTACGGTAGAAACATACATTTTTCGACCATCCAGGTTGCGTGCAGGAAGGCGCCCATTGTGCTTGTTGTAGTCAATGGCAGCCAGTAGTGTCCTTGTCTTGTAGACAAATGGTGTGTAGGCGTGCCGCTTGGATGAGTACATGAGGAGGTGATTTTGGAAGGACTCCAAATCAGATGTGGTCCTATAAAGGTGGGACAGGAATGGGTGTTGAGAATAACACAGTAACATGAAATGACTAAAAATACCCAAATTAGAGACTACGATGGAATAATAGCAACAACTTGTTCTATGCAATGAATGACTAGATGCTTACCTGAAGTTCAAGAACGTTTTCACCAGGCCCAACCATCGCTTGTCGAGCACAACTCCAGCCAATGCCTTGTGAGCGGCAGAACCTGTAATGATAACCTTCCAATTCACATATACACATACACACAGATTTGGACAGGGAGTTCAACTTCTGCATTAATTTAGTGAAAATACCTTGTTTGATCCATGGCTTCTCCTGGCTGCCTTCCTCCAGTGGCTCGTGCTGACAGCACCCAGTTGCCCAAGAGTGCTCGTCCCGTACGTGGGGCACACAAGAGTAACACATAAATCATCAATATTCAGCGCCAAACTAACCCAACCTAATATCCCAACCTAATATTAAGTGGACAAGATGTGTCTATTACAAAAGGTACAAATAGTGTGAATCATACCCGTCGAAGCTTCTTGCTTAGACTTTTAGCTGCATGCCATATATCCAATGAGTGTTGGATCCCCCATGCTTTGTATTTACCACGCTCTGGATCTGTAAAAAAAATAAAAAATATGTTGAACTATATCACAACCCAAAACACTACATACAATTTCAACCGACTTAAAATAATACAGGAAAAACAACTCACTCAACAATGCACTGATCTGTGGGTGGGCATCAGTGACAACTTCTTTGATAGCAAGCTCTGGAAGGAGAGCTTCCATTGTACGAATAAAGCACTCCTTCTCCATGATGACAGAGTTCCTGTTGGTTTCTAACTTATCAACAGAGACGATGTGGACAATGTCTCTGGAGTCCTGCTCTATGGTGGTGTATGTGCAAAACTGTGCACAATGACCTGCAACAACAGCACTGATGTCAGCATACATGTGTGCATTTTTAAAAACAGTTTGCACATGTCAAGCATGTTTGTAACTACACAAATGAATAGCATCAGAAAAAGGGTGGTCCAGCCTACTGGTCGATCAGGACACAATGGCTAGACATTGAGAGATGAACTGCATGGGCTGTGCACAGAATAAGGTCTAATGTGATGCTAATTGAGTAGTTTCAGAACCTCAAATAACTGTTACTAACAGTGATACACACCATTCCTACAAGAGGGTTTACTTCAGACAGCTTCACAAATTAGACATAGTAGGCAATCCTTATTATTAGTGATGGATCCGGCAACACCGATGCGTCGGCGCATGTGTCGAGCTCATAGAGCAAAACCGGTGTCGATGCGCGTATCGACAAGGGAAAGTTATGTGACCGATACTGGAACTGTTTCGAACTGACTGATGCACCAATCTGTTTCTATTCCCTCTAAGCTGTACACTTGTGCATTCGCACACAGCAGCGCGCACACCAGCGCGCACACCAAAGCTATGCTGCGCAGTAAATAAAATCAAAGCTGAACTGTAAACAAAATGACAATTAATAATGGTTACTTTTTAACTATTTTGCAAATCTGGTGTGATGGTGTACCACAGTCTCGCTCTGTGAGCGCCAGGTGCTGATCGGAACACACCACTGATGGATGGGTTGGGCAGGTTGCGTTGTGCATCTTTATTCTGAGCGTTGTTTCAGAAAAAAAGCTGATCTACCCTTAGTAGAAAGCTGCTACTCTGAGTAGTTCTTCCTCCCTTTGTCATACTCAGCATTTCCGATTTAAGAACAGATTGAAAGGACATGGCATCAAAGAATTTAAAAAAATAAATAAATAAAAAAGCCAGTCCACAAGCATCCTCCTACACAACATGTTTACTTAGAGGTTATTATATTATGATACAAGTTCACTTTATTTATTGACTATATCTAAAAAAAAATCAAATACATGTTTAACTAAATTGAAAATATAAAATACATTGCAACATACAATGATTTAAATTGTATTGTGCATACTTGGTCATCAAATCAGTGTCAGTTAACTCTGACAACCAGGTTGCCTGTAGTGATTTTTAAGGTCCACCAGGTGTCAGTATTCAGTGACACAGTATTGGCACAATATCAATACAGTTTGGCAATGTGTCAAAAGGCTTCATGACGCCTCATTGACCCATCACTACTTATTATGAATCTAAATACAGGCCATAAGACAACATAACATGACGAACAACAAAAGCCTCTTGAATTTACCAGGGGAGTCCATTCTGCCATCACCTGTTGAAAACAAACATTACAGGTATTAGATACTCAGATTCCAGAGTAAATCCTTCCATCAAAACCGGTGACAGAATTGTATGTGTAATAGAAGTTGGCCTCACCTAGGACAACAACGCGGTCCTTTTGTCGAAGACTTTCTAAGACTTCTGCCCTGGTTTTGTCCCAGTACTCCTGCACTGGCTCGATGCAGTAGGCATCTTGTATCCTGAAGAAAGTTGACTCTGAGACCATCCCCATCGCCATAAACTTGAACAGCAAGGCTACTTTCCTGTAGTTGTTGCCAGACAGGAGAATGTTGGCAGACAGCATGAAGTCACCGCCCTGCATACCAAACCTCAGGGTTGGCTGAGAATTCCACTTCCACAAGGAGTGTCCGAAGGGGCATAACTGTAAAGAAAGTAGCACCACATCTAAAAATAAAATATACATTTACAAAATCAACACATGCAAATTCACACAAGTACATAACTTTTCTACCAGCAGACTTCTAAGAGTCTTCATACATTTACTGGCTATCATGTCCCCATATGTGAAATGGGGCTAGGGACTCAAAAGAAGTGTGTGGGGGGTGGGGTGAAGTGTCATCTAACTTACAAATTCCAAAATTACTGCAGTCCCCCGAGGTTTCAAAGTCACTTGAAATGGTGGGGAACCCGGGCATGCTACCCCAAGCACTCTGTCAACATAACTGCACTGTTGCTGTGGCAGTCTCAAGTGCCTGGCCAGAGTCAGAAGATTCTCATTGAAGGTAATGTTTGCAGTTTTGCCAACCAGGTCATCTTCAGAAGATACTCTGTGTGGTTTCTGTGGTGAATTCAGAGTCTTGGCCAGGAGGATCCCGTGTGTCGAAGTCATACACTAATTCATCCACACTTATATTAGCCAGCTCATTTGTTTCAGCCCCAACCATTCTGAAGAAAGAGTAATAATGAGCAGACATTGGTCAAGGTGTTGTGTTTGACAAATGCCCTAGTATATTGATAAATTCACCTAGAAAATAATAAATTCACAATACAAATATACCGTAGGTGAAGAGAAGGGACAAAATCTTCATCTGAGCTGTCTCCTTCTTCCAATCCCATTTCACTTGGATCGGCCCAAAGGTCATCCATCTCAATGCTGTCCAGGAACCACATGAAAATTATTTTAGATGGGAGAAAAGACACTGACAGAAAATGAAAACACTACTAAACAACACTTACACAGTGTTCCGCAGGTCATTGGTATCTTCTTTGTCTGGAGAGTCTGGGCGGTGTTCTTCAGCAATGCTCAGAGAGTGCATGCTGCAGTCAGGATAAATAAGGCCAAAAAAATAAAATCACTGGTCACCTAAAAAGTTCTACATAGACAATCACAGACTCGTAGCAGTGAACTGTAGCCTAGCTTGATTCCAAATCTCCTACTTCTCCCCCTGCAGACAGTGGCTGGACACCCAGTTGGGCAACAATGCTGGGGAATCAAACAGCCCATAAGAACTGGTACAAATAACTAAAATGCACAAATAATAAAGCAATGGATAGAAAACCTACAGATCACGATCCGATTCCTCAGTTATACTGGACACTGGTGGCTTTGGAGGTCGAGGGTGTGCCTTGCTTGGCGTTGATGTGACTAGCCATCGCTTATAACTTCAACAAAGAGAAGTAAATGTTCATATACAAAGTCATAATACAAACAATGACACTTTTTTGGTCGGGGACTCATTTAGATAAAGGAAGAGGGACCATGCATTCCGTGGTTGACAGTAAATCACAGTCAGACAAAAAATGCTTCTAGGATCGTCAGTAAACGCTAGTTTATACATAACGTTACTAGCTTCGTGAGGTTTATGGCTAACAAACGCGACTACATTTTGTACTGGTTTCAGATTTATGCAGCTCATTGCAAAACGCGATTCAAACCCAATCTTCGCAAAATAAGGAATTTAGTAAAGTAAATACACAGTCTAGAGATACTTCACATGTGAAGCAAGTTTGCCAAATAGCAAGCAATGCAGTTATCACCTACCACAACAACAATGTTTAGGCAGCATGCTAGCTAACTTCCTAACTTGCTAAACATCCCGCTAGCTACTTAGCTACTCAGCAACAGACCACGATCATACAAAAGTCGAAAAAAAGGCAGTACAAACAATGACTAACACAGTGAAAGTATGAACATGCACACAGAGAGAGAGAAAACATTCCAAAGTTACTTACAATCGCATCAGCAGAAACGCGAGGTCGGCATCACATTTACAGCCCTCTTTTTCTGTAAGCTCTCGCCATTCGGCAAAAGCTTGCCCGAGGTTCACCCATGTACGACCCCTTTCTCTGTCCAGAGCCCTTTTCCTATTTCTTGCCTGCTCCGACATGGGCTTTCGCTGTTTCGTCGCTGGTTCCGCCATTATAACTGCACAAATATCGCCAATGTGCTAGCAACGAGCATGCTTTTAACTGGGGGCATGTAGCAGTTCTCGCCGTAAAGCAAGATTGACTCTCGCGAGACTTCTGAGCCTGTGGGTGTGGGTCGGTGCTCCTGCAATTGCAAGTGCGGTATTTCCCCCACAGACCACCAGGGCGGCCGGGAATACCAAAACGTTATGGAACAAATTAATTAACTGAAAAATGTTGCATAGTGTGCCTTTAAAGCTACAGTGTGTAATAATTACAGGGATATACAGTCAGAAATGTAATATATTATACATAACTATGTTATTTATCATCATCTACGAGCTCAGCCTCTTAACCTTAATATTTGCGTTGCCTTAGAATTCGTTATTTATAATGACATAGGAGCGGGTCTCGGAGCCATGGAGGCAGACATCTTTACGCTAAGTCAGCGCAGAGCCAACAAACTAGCGATTGCGAGATCGCCCATTACAATAACATGCTGCATGATGATGCTGTTACTCTCCAGTATACTTATTCAGCAACGTCCCTGACGTTTCACCGGTAATGATTCAGCAATTTTCTGTAAAATAATTTTCTGGATATATACCTCGGTTACTTCTCTCCGGCTCCTTTGGAGATTCTCAAGCCTTTCCTCCTCTGCTCTAGTCACCCCGCTGGCACCTCTCCCTCGCCTGGCCCTGGCTGCACGCCCACCCCGGCCTCTCTGCCCTCCTCCTCGCCCTCTTCCTCGCCTTGTAACCCCCGTGCCACAAACAAGACTTGGACTCTGTAAACGGGGAATATATATTCTTCCAGCGAACACAATCTCTCTGTTAAACTAATGACTACAATTACTTCGTCTGTTTATATCACCATGCAAAGCAGCTCACCAAAACGTCACAACGATGTAGAAAAAATAATGGGTATATTTATTATCTTAAGTCTACATGAAATCTATACCCTACACAGACTAATGAAATACTATCTGTAAAATTATCTATGTAAACAAACCTCATCACTTGAGAAGGTAGGTGCGGACGTCGTGGAAGACATTTTGTCCCGTTAAGCTCGCCGTACTGTTGGGGGGGGGGGGGGGGGGGGGGGGGGGGGGGGGAGATGTTCATGTTGCTGCGGTCTGCAGTCTGGATGTTAGATGTCGCTGAAAATTACACACTGTAGCTTTAATATCATCTTGTTTTGATCAATAGCTCTGTGTTTATACAGTGC